TTTCTATAGCAGCAAATGCCCTCGCTGAGCTTTCTGTGCTATGCAAAAGGCAGAGCTTTCAATCAAGAAGAGCTTTGAGACCTCTTGCAGTCTCCAGTCTGTTCTGCATCCGTTTTCGACTCTTACCTCAAACACTGCTAAGCCGAAAGGATGGCTCAGATCGTCAACAGAAGAGATTAGAACTTTTCTGTTGCTGCCATTGAAATCAATGCAGGACAGTGAATGCAACTTGGAGTCTACCCAGTAGAGACGCTGATTCAGCAAATCTGAGAAGTGAAACACAATGAAGCAAAATTACACACAGCTCCTGCAACTCTTTTTCTCTTGCCCAGCATGTTTTTCCTGCTGGCAGCATGACTAATCTCTTTATTACTGGGCCTTTTTTTTTTTATTAACACTAGTTCTGATTTTGAATCAGTGCCCAGATATGCTGGGATAAGACCCTATAAATAAGATTAAAAAGGAGGAACATTCTGTTGTGTGTGTGTGGGGAATGCCTGACTGACAGCTTTGTACAATGAGGTTCTTTTGTTACCAGGAGGAGCAGGCCAGCAGCAGTTTGGGCTTCCCAGAGTCACTCCATCAGTGCCTGAGTGAGAAGCTTCATCCCTTCTCAAGGCTATTCAGTCCTTGGCCTCTTGCTGGAGAGTAACTGTGATTCAAATGAAACACCTCTCCAAAGGAGCTGTGCGATTTACACGTTTTCAGTGAAGAATTCTGGGTCCAGAAAGCTGCCTTGTCCTGCAGGCTGGGGGAACGCTGGTGGTGGGGACACCCCTACCACAACCAGCTGGGTTTTGGGGAGGGTGCAGGTAAGAGTGGGAGGGATGGATCCAATGTTATTTAGAATGCTAAGCACTGAATTTCTCTCCTGGAGCAAATTCACTCATTTTGGATGAGATTCACTAAACAGAATGCAACTGGATGAGAGCCAACACAAAACAAGTTCTGTAATTAAACAAGTCATTAATTAATTTCTTAATTACTAAAGGATAACATTATTTGTTCACAGCAGTAGCACTTCAACACTATGCAATGGTAGCAGCATTTTCTCCTATATCCTTGTCATGGGCAGAATTTTCAAATATAAAACCAAGCAACGAATCTCACATCAGTTGTAGGCTGTAACTCCAGAGGAGGGTGTTCCCTGCTGCCCCATGAGGGCAGGGAACCTCCTTTCCACTCCTGCAAGTTGGTGTGACAGTGAGAACGACCACAGCCTTCGGTGGGCCAGCAGGATACGGGCCAAGATGGATTCCATTTCGCTACCCCCACCCAGAGCGGTTAGGCAGACGTGTGGATGGGTAATGGGCTCTGCAGGCTGTGTCTCTTTCCTTGATGTGCATTAATCAGTCCAATGAAGTATCTTGACACTGCTGCTGAGACAGGTCCAGAAATGCTAGCTCCAAGCACTCTCTGATGCTTCCTGGACTTCCAAATGGTTGTTGCAGCTCTGCATCCTCCCCCAATATTTCCCTTTGCCTTAAAACACACCTAAAAGCAACTCGAAGCTCCCGCAGTATGAGGTTCTGACTGTGGCAAGACTTACTGCCTACGCTTGCTACTGAAATAAAATCACTTATGTTGATGAGCAGTAAGTGACAGTATTTCCAGGATTTTTGTGTGCAGGCGCCTTTGCGCATTTACAGTTTTGTTTTCCTATTTAACAATAAAAATTTAAGTCAGCCACAGTGGATGCTGTAGCTCTAACCTAGGCACTTACCAAGTGTGATGCCATTTGGCCACTCAATGTTGTCAGTCACCAGCACTTGCCGCCCCACGCCATTCAGGCCAGCTTTCTCGATCTTAGCTTTATCTCCCCAGTCAGACCAATACATGAACCTGAAAGAGACACATGCAAGAAAACAATAAATTGGGCTCCAGTGTAAGAAATGTGCACTACTAATTAGAGTAGGAGATGCCCTGTTCTCTCCTTATTATATCAGTGGCCCTCAGCCACTTCAGTTAGTTCTGATATGCACCTAGAGGAGCCACATACCCTCCCAACAGGATACTCTGCCACAAAACTTGCACCAGAATGCAAAATCTCACCTTAGTAACCCCGTGCAAACTATCTCCTGGTGTGTCTGCTGGGTATGTGGACTTCACTTATCCAAGCAGCCTATACACGTCAGACAGACTACTTCATTTCCCAGCACAACCTATGTGCCTGGACCAGCTCAGTCCCATTGAACATATGACTTGACCATGATTTTCAGAACTTTAGCAGCAGTGGCCTTGCAAAGATCTTAAAGGGCATCTGAAGTCTTGATGAGATGAAATCCACCCACAAAATTGTGAGAGAGGCAGAAAGACGACTAGAACGTCTCTGTTGGCAAAAGGAGTGTTTGTGGTCTTTACACCTACCTCCGTGTGGGATCAACAGCAATGGCTCTTGGCTCACTGAGGTCGCTGTTGAAAAGTGTCCTCCTCCTGCTTCCATCTGCAGTGGCCACTGAGATGGTCTTGTTTCCAGAATCCGTCCAATAGATATTCTTATGAACCCAGTCTATTGCCAGTCCTTCAGGAGAGTTCAGTTGGCTGTCTATCAGAACCACCTGCTCAGCTGTGTCGCTTGCTTTGTCTATGTAGGCACTGCAAAGACAAGACTCGTCACTGGACTCACACATGGCACAGAGAGGGCTGTGCACATGTGCATGGGGTTGGGCCTCAGACAGCTGAATGCCAGGTAGCACCGCTGCAACCCCACAGAAAGAAAGTGTGTGCGGCAGCACGATTGACATAGAAACCCCTATGGCTGCATGCTGTAACCTTCTGCTTTCTCCTACAACTTGTTCTTATTTCCCTATATCTGGATGGCAGGTGTTTCCAGAATAGGGAACTGTCATTTTATTTTTCTACCTGCTTCCTGCTGTAACTGCACAATTCAGCAAAACATTTGACTCGAGGCATGTTAACTTCAATAGCATCAATTCATGGGATTCATGGACATTAGAGATGTAATCTCCAGTGCTCTGCTGAATAGAGTTGAACTTAGCATGCAAACAAACACACTTAAATGTATTGCAGAATTAGGACCTGTGTAACTAATCATGATTCATCAAAGGAATTCATGGAGCTGTACTGATTTGGCAAGCGATCTTGTTACATACAAAGAAAATGTTCACTAAGTATCAGTGGCAGCCTCAAAATATTTGAAAATGCTACTGAAAGGCAGCAAACTCCACATGGGTGTTTCATAAATAACTCAATGTTGCTCCTATGAGTACACAGGCTGATTCTGCTCTGTTGCCCCTGCATCAGTATCAATTGCACTGGGTGAACTGAAATGGAGTCTTCTGAGATATTGTTTCCAAGATCTTAGTCTGGCTCTTAGAATAACTTGGTACATCTTAAAAAAGTTACAGAACAGCAGAAACTGGGATTTCTTGCCAGCAATTGCCTCATGTACCATAGTTTTCACCTTGCAATAGCCTGTCAACTATAGACTGCATTTCCCCAGATGACTCCTGTTCTCTGCTAAAAGGACATGGTGGCCTTTTATTTAGAAGTGTTTGATGTTAGTGATAGTAGTAGTATCTTAAACAGGAACATTAATTGTTAAGAAGTTATTGCACAGCTTGCTCTGCAGAAAAGATGGACTTACAACAAAGCTAATGACTTCTCTGCCTCAGTCTTCACTGGCAAATGCTTGAGCCACACTGCCCAGGTCGCAGAAGGCAGGGACTGGGAAAATGCAGAACCCCCCACTGTAGGAGAAGATCAGGTTCAAGAATATCTAAGGAACCTGAAGGCGCACAAGTCCACGGGACCTGATGAGTTGCATCCGTGTGTCTTGAGGGAACTGGCGGATGAAGTGGCCAGGCCACTCGCCATCATGTTTGAGAAGTCCTGGCAGTCCGGCGAAGTTCCTGCCGACTGGAAGAGGGGGAACATAACCCTCATTTTTAAGAAGGGTAAAAAGGAAGACCCAGGGAACTACAGGCTGGTCAGTCTCACCTCTGTGCCTGACAAGATTATGGAGCAGACCCTCCTGGAGACTATGCTCAGGCACATGGAAGATAAGGAGGTGATTGGTGACAGCCAACACGACTTCACTAAGGGCAAATCGTGCCTGACAAACTTGGTGGCCTTCTGTGATGGGGTTACAGTGTCGGTGGATAAGGGAAGGGCAGCTGATGTCATCTACCTGGACTTGTGCAAGGCATTTGACACTGTCCCGCATGACATCCTTGTCTCTAAATTGGAGAGACATGGATTGGATGGATGGACCACTCGGTGGATACGGAATGGTCTGGATGGTCGCACTCAAAGAGTTGTGGT